AGTGGAAAGATATTTGCATGAACCCCATGACGTGTCATAAAGTTTTATTTTGTGCCTAAATCTAAATGGAGAGGTGGACCGTAAGAAATATTTTATTGACACAGGATCCAGGGCACCTGAATACAGAAGAGAAGATTGCCAGTGGAGGGGCTCAGGAGGCCTCGGGTTGGGGGAGGGAAAGAAGCTATGGGGCCCGAAGATGGGGTGGGGAGGGAAGCGGCTGAAAGGTCAGACTCTGAGGTCAGTGCCCTGGATGGAATGTTGACCCACTCATCCCTGTCTGGGGGACTCTGGGGAAGTCCTGTCCTGTCCCAGTGCTGGCTCCTGCTCATTAGACTGGGGAGAGGTTGAGCCGTCACAGAGGGCGCTGTGGGCTTATTATGACGCCAGGGGAGGAGATGCAGGAAACTCCTCAAGGGTCTGGCATCGACTGGGGCTCACAAGTCCTCACTGTGTTGGAGCTACAGGTTTAGAAAGATGACCAACCCGGGGCACCAGGGGGCGCTGCGGGTCCTGGTTCTGGACCCTCCCTGGTGCCAGTCCCCTGGGCAGGGCTCAAGTGCAAAGGGCATGACTGGTGCTTCCTTGAACACACTTCTCTTGGGGAAAATGTCTGTCCCTCTGAAACCCACACGTGGCCCTGTCTCTGACCCCAGGGACTCCCCAGAGTGAGGCCCTGGGCTCAGGGCTGAGACAGGAGCTGAGACCCAGGACGGGGGCGGGGACTTGATTGGCATGCACTGCCCTCCTGGAGCTGCAGGGGAGAGGATCAAACGGGGGCCTGGAGAGGCCAGTCCAGCTGGGCAGCCTCAGGGCAGAGCCCAGGACGCGCCTCCCACCACGGCCTGGGTCCTCTTCTACCTGCTGTCGCTGCTGATCAACACAGGTCAGTGTGGCCTCGGGCCTCGGGGGCTCCCGGCCCCTCCGTCTGGCTCAGTCCTGAGGGTCCGCTCCCAGTGTGGGCGCCCTCAGCCCCACCTGCCTTTCTCTCTGCAGGGCTCTGTGCTCGGCCTGTGCTGACCCAGTCCCCGTCTGCGGCCTCCTCCCTGGGAGGCTCGGCCACGCTCACCTGCACCCTGAGCAGTGAGCATAGCACGCACTTCATTCAGTGGTATCAACAGAGTCTTGGGCAGGCCTCTCGGTATCTGATGAAACTGACCAGTGACGGAGAAGTCACCAGAGGGGACGGGATCCCCGGCCGCTTCTCCGGCTCCAGCTCCGGGGCTGAGCGCTACCTGACCATCAGCAGCCTCCAGTCTGATGACGAGGCTGATTACATCTGTGGTGTCAGCTATAATGATGGTGGCCAGAGTGGGTACCACAGTCACACAGACAAAGGGGAAGTGAGGCACAAACCTCCCTCCCATGCCCTCTGCCCACGGGCACCAGGGTGAGCTGCTCCCTAACCATCCCCAAGGCCCTGACCTGAGTCTCCCCTCAGAAATCCATCTCCCTGACTCTCTCCCAGAGACACCAGCAGGAGAGGCAGAAACATGATAATTTTAAGTGGTTTATAAATAGGACATTGTGTTTCCTCTTCCACAAGCCTGTGTGGATGATGTGGGGAGAGACCAGCCCAGACCAGGGTGGAGCGTAACCCTGGGAGGGGGCTGAACTGAGATGACCTGACCCCAGGAGGCCCAGGCCCCGTGCTCCCATGGTGGGTCTCTCAAGGCAGGGCCATGGAGAGTGGCGTCCGGAGGTCACAGTGGAGGTCAAAGCACCAGGTGACCTGACTCAGGAGCCCAGGGCGCAGAGCAGGAGCTCTGTCAGGCTGAGGGGGTCTGTGGGAGGACAGACCTGCAGACATTCAGCGGGAGCATGTGATGGAAACACAGAGGGACAGACGGCAGGAAGTGAGGACAGGAACGAAAAGGGAGGCAGTGAACACTCACCCGCTCTGCACTGAGGGCGACGCACCGGTGAGGGGGTCTCCCCTCAGAGCCTTGGTCAGACGCTAATGGGCAGGCTGACCTGTCGGCCACAGCCTCAGAAGCAGAGACTGTCTCCCCCCAACCTGCTCCCCACCCCCTCCTCTCTGGGGGGAAGGGTATTCTCTGTCTTATCTCCACTTTCTGCTCATAATGCCTAAGTGAGAGTCGGTTCCTGGAACCTTCTCTCACTATTCTTTTCCTGTTTTATAACTTAGATACACAAGAAACCCACACTTTCCCGAAACATCACTGAGTGTGGATAAATGCATACAGCGGTGTAAGACCCCACAGGCACAATATCCCCCAGCTCAGCCTTTCCCATCATTTCCCCAGGCCCCTCCACATCAGCCCCTCCTCCACTGCCACCTCTGGGACTGCGGCCCCGCTGTCTGTGCCTACAGGCGGGTCTCTGTTAGAATATCACAGAAATGGGAGCGCCCAAGGCAGCCATTTGGCCCCAGCTTCCTTCACGCAGGGGATGCATGTGAACTCCATCCACATGGTTGTAGCTCCTGACGGTTCCCTCCATGGCCGTTCCTGAGCAGATGTCCCTGGGAGGGTTGACCACAGTTCTGTTTATCCTTCACCTGTTGTAACATCAGTGTTGCTCTTTGGCAATGTCACATAAAACCTATACAGCATTTGTTATGAGCACTCTGTGAGCATAAGTTTCCATAGCACTTGGGTAAACACCGGAGGATGGAACTGACGGGTTGTATGGTAGATATGCGTCTACCTAAGAAACTGCCCAGCTGTTAACCAATGTTGCCATTTCGTCGCTAAGTCGCATCCACTAAGTCGTGAAGTCGCATCACGCTAAGCCTTCGTGAGCACAGGGACTCTAGCACATCAGGCTCCTCTGTCCATGGGATTTCCCAGACAAGCACACAGGACCGGGTTGCCGTTTCCTTTTCCAGGAGATCTCCGGGACTCAGGAATTGAACCCATGGCTCCTGCATTGATAGGTGGATTCTTTCCTGCTGACCCAGCTGGGAAGCCCTGTTCCAAACCAGCCCTTTATGAGCACTCATTGACCTGCATCGTGGGTGGCATCTGAGACTAGGATTTTTATCAAAGTCTCTCTAATAGGTCTGGAGTAATTCCTCCTTGTTTTTGGTTCTCACACCCTAGTGATTATGATATGGACCGTATCACATGATATGCTCACTTCTCATCTGTGTACCGTGTTTTGTGAAGGGTGTCATCAAACCTTTGGCTGATTATCAAACTCAGCTTCCCCCAGGGTTACTTGTTCTCAATGTGTGTGTTCCTGGGTGTTTAGTTCTGTTACTTTATCACAAGTGTAGGTTCGGGATCCACCAGCCCAGTCAGAATACATCAGTGACTTCTTCCCAAGGATTCCTGCTGTTCTTTGACAGCAACATCCACTTTCTTCCACCCGCTTCCCTGCGCTCCCCATCACCCCAGGCACCATGCATTCATCTCCACTTCTAAAAGTTAGTCTTTCCAGAAATGGTACATAGAAGTAAAAGATAGAATCACATAGCATGCATCCTTGGAAGCGGTATTTTTCAACCTGTAGAATCACTGGAGAATCATTAAAACTGTTCTGTGCGTGAAGAATTCAGTCCTTCTCATGGCCGAGTTATTTTCCAATGTTTGACGACCAAAGTCTGCACCCAGCTACCAGTGAAAGGACATCTGGATTGCTCTCGGTTTGGGCGGGTACTAACACAGGATCTACGGACAGTTTGTGTCTAGTTTTTCTGTGTACATACATCTTCGCTCTTCTCAAATAAAAGTTCAACTGGGCAGCTGCTGGGATATATACTGACCTCGAGGTTTTGAAGAAGCTGTCAACTCTTTTGCAGGGTAGCTGCACCAGTTCACCATCCTCTGAGCCACGCCTCAGTGGTCCAGGTTCTCGGCATCCTTGTCAGTATTTGAGGTTGTCCTTGCATTTGTTTGGAGCATTCATACAGGTACATAATGATGCCTCATTGTGGTTTCACTTGCATTTCCCTCATGGCTGATGACAAAGGTCTTTCCATGTGCTCTCGGCCACTTCTGCATCCTCTTCCATAACACCTGGCTCTACTCACTGCCCATTTTCTGAATGTGATATACTCATTTCTTTTCTTTTTTTACTCAGTTGTGAGAGTTTTATTATACTCCACATACTTGCCCTTCAATGAATGTACGGTTTTAAAAAATCCTCTTTCAGGTTGTGATTTGGCTTTTTTTTCATCCTGTTTGGATAACTTGGGCTTCCCTTGTGTCTCTGCTGCTAAAGAATCCGCCTGCAATGCAGGAGACCTGGGCTCGATCCCTGGGCTGGGAAGATCCCCTGGAGAAGGGAAGGGCTTCCCACTCCAGTACTCAGGCCTGGAGAATTCCATGAACCGTATAGTCCATGGGGTCCCAAAGAGTCGGACACAACTGAGTGACTTTCACTTTCAGACAGCTTGCAAAGCAAAAGATATCAGTTTTGATGAGGTTCAAAGTATTGATCTTTCGTTTTATGAAGCATGCATCTGCTGTCACCAAAGAATTCTTCTTTAACCTTAGATCCCAACGATTCTCCCGAATCTAAACATGTTTTTTTTTTTTAAGTTTCTTTTTTAAAAAAGAAAAGTTTTAAAGTTTTAAAAAGAAAAGTTTCCCAACATGTTCATGAGCCATTTTGTGGTGTCTGATGCTGGAATTCTGGCTCTCATAGCAGCAGGACCACGGTCCCATCAGAGCCAGCTTCCAGCACTGTCTAGGCCCGCAGACGATGGCCTCGTCCCAGAGAGGACACCTGTGTGTCCCCCAGGCCCAGAGGGGACCCCTTGAGCAGACAGAGGACATGTGCACTGCTCAGGGAGGGGCAGCCTTTCTCACTCAGCCCCGAGAGAGCCTGGGGACCTGCGCCCAGGCCTGGGAGTCAGGCCCCAGGAGACTCCTCCTTGGAGCCCAGCTGCTCTCCGCTCCACAGGGGGCCGGTCCCCAGGCCACGAGGGGCAGGAAGGAGATTTGCATGAGGACGTCCCTCCTGAGGATAAGAGAGCCCAGAGGCCCCAGCCCAGCTGCGGGCTCAGAGGCAGAGCTCAGGGCGCGTCCACCATGGCCTGCACCCCTCTCCTGCTGCCCCTCCTCACTCTCTGCACAGGTGCGGCCCCCCGGCCCTGCCTGCAGGCTCAGGACACACAGGACCCTGGGCTGGGCCTGCCCGGAACCCAGAGCGCAGTCCAGGCACTGCCTCAGGGTGGGATGCCCGGGGAAGGGGTCCTTCCTTCTCATCCCGTCTTCCCCCTCTCTTCCAGGCTCCGCGGTCTCCTATGAACTGACCCAGCCAACTTCAGTGTCAGTGGCCTTGGGACAGACGGCCAAGATCACCTGCTCGGGGGACCTCCTGGATGAAAAATATATTCAGTGGTACCAGCAGAAACCAGGCCAGGCCCCTGAGCTGGTCATTTATCAAGATAGTGAGCGGCCCTCGGGGATCCCTGACCGGTTCTCTGGCTCCAGCTCAGCCAACTTCAGTGTCAGTGGCCTTGGGACAGACGGCCAAGATCACCTGCTCGGGGGACCTCCTGGATAAAAAATATACTGCGTGGTACCAGCAGAAACCAGGCCAGGCCCCTGTGACGGTCATTTATAAAGATAGTGAGCGGCCCTCGGGGATCCCTGACCGGTTCTCTGGCTCCAGCTCAGGCAAAACAGCCACCTTGACCATCACCAGTGCCCAGACCGAGGATGAGGCCGACTATCACTGTCTGTCAGCGGACAGCAGTGATGATCCTCACGGTGACACGGACAGACAGGGAAGTGAGACACAAACCCTCCCATCCTGCTCACACTCTCCTCCAGCCCTGGGAGGACTGTGGACTCAGCAGGGACAGGCCTGGCCCGGATCCGCTGGAGCTGAGCCCCGCAGGCGGCCCCTCCTCCTGGCCCTCCAGGCGGGCTCTGCATGGGGGGGTCCTCAGTGGACGATGAGCTGGCAGAAGGGGGTGATGGTTTCCTGGATCAGAGCTCCTGAGACCCACGGGCACTGAATGGACTAGGGACACCTCACCCCAACATGAACTCAGCTTAACTCATGATGTCTGAATGGACTGTGTTTCCAAATAAGGCCCCGCTCTTAGGACTGCAGTTAGGACTTCAGTTCGTGAGTGTAGAGGGTTCCAACAAGGTGTGTGTATTGGTGTTGCCAGAAAACACTGCCCTTGCCAGGTGTCCCAAACCCATCACACTCATGCTCCCACCATCCCAAAGCCTCTGGTTTGTATGAAGGATAAGGTATATGAATATTAACAGATGGAATGAGAGTAAATACACATATGTGCTTAATATGTGTCAAGCACCATCACAGTTCTTTCTATTTATTTACTTGTTTAACAGAACTATTCACTCTCTCTACCCAATCCCTGGTCCTCACCACCTTTGTGTGGCCTCTCACTGTGCTTCCAAAGCTAAACACGGCCTTTCCTGAATGTGCCAGGAAGTTCCTCCCATTTAAAAAATCAAGTGACTCATGTGGGGACTTTGCACTTCTGCCCTATCTGATTAAAACAAAGTTTTAACCACATGTGAGGGCTTCACTTATCACTCAGTTGGTAAAGAATTTGCCTGCAATGCCAGAGACCCGGGTTCAATTCCTGGTTCGCGAAGACCTCCGGGAAGGAAATGGCAACCCACCCCCATTTTTTTGCCAGGAGAATCCCATGGACAGAGGAGCCTGGCAGGCTACAATCTCTGGAGTCACAAGAGTCCATGGGGTCATAAGAGTCAGACTTGACTTAACAACTAAACCAACACCACCAACAACCACATAGGCGATTTTAAGTTTTCCAAGAGACAGTTGAAAAATTATGCAAAACAGATGCTGTTTCCATGATAGATTTTGCTTACTCAGTTAGTTGAAAATGTCATTTCGAGGGCTTCCCTAGAAGCTCAGTGGGAAAGAATCCACCTACCAATGCAGGAGACACGCGTTCTATCCCTGATCCGGGAAGATTCCGCATGCTGCAGGACGGCTAAGCCCGCGCCTCACATCCACTGAGCAGTGCTCTAGAGCCTGGGACTGCCCCTGCTGAGCTCACTTGCCGAAACCACGGAAGCCCGCCCACCCAAGGCCCGTGCTCCACAGCCAGAGAAACCACCACGATGAGAAGTCCGAGCGGCACGACGAAGACCAGCACCCACTCGCCACGAGTGGAGAAGGCCACACAGCAGTGAAGACCCAGCACCGCCATGAATAAACAAATGAAATGATATTTTTAAATTGCCATTCCAATATGAATTAAATATGAAAATCTGGATACATTCTACACTGCTGCTGCCACTAAGTCGCTTCAGTCATGTCTGACTCTATGCGACCCCATAGACGGCAGCCCACCAGGCTCCTCCATCCCTGGGATTCTCCAGGCAGGAACACTGGACTGGGTTGCCATTTCCTTCTCCAATGCATGAAAGTGAAAAGTGAAAGTGAAATCACTCAGTCGTGTCCGACTCTTAGTGACCCCATGGACTGCAGCCCATCAGGCTCCTCCAGGCAAGAGTACTGGAGTGGGGTGCCATTGTCTTTTCCGCCATTCTACACTACTCTATCCTAAGTCTTTGAGATCTACTGGGTATTTCACAACAGCACTTCTCAGCTGGGACTGCCCACCTTGGCTTGTGGCCCCCATGTTGCACTGAGCAAGTGAGATGGATGAGGCTTGGGGAACTGTGTCTGCAGAGAACACTCACCACCACCAGGAGGTGAGCGAGGGTCCCAAACCCAGAGTCTTGGCTGGGAAGAAACTGGGGATCTATATTCCATCCAAAAATCAGGGGATTTTATACAGGTAGCCCTGTGACGTCCACCTCAAAGGCAAGTTAGGAATGAAACTATAATATTCAACGGTCGTTCTGAGCCATCACCCACATTTTTACTATAGTTTGTGAAATAAATGGCAATACTCTTTTGTTTTGTTTTATTAAATTTCTACAAGCATCCCTTTCAGTGGAAAGATATTTGCATGAACCCCATGACGTGTCATAAAGTTTTATTTTGTGCCTAAATCTAAATGGAGAGGTGGACCGTAAGAAATATTTTATTGACACAGGATCCAGGGCACCTGAATACAGAAGAGAAGATTGCCAGTGGAGGGGCTCAGGAGGCCTCGGGTTGGGGGAGGGAAAGAAGCTATGGGGCCCGAAGATGGGGTGGGGAGGGAAGCGGCTGAAAGGTCAGACTCTGAGGTCAGTGCCCTGGATGGAATGTTGACCCACTCATCCCTGTCTGGGGGACTCTGGGGAAGTCCTGTCCTGTCCCAGTGCTGGCTCCTGCTCATTAGACTGGGGAGAGGTTGAGCCGTCACAGAGGGCGCTGTGGGCTTATTATGACGCCAGGGGAGGAGATGCAGGAAACTCCTCAAGGGTCTGGCATCGACTGGGGCTCACAAGTCCTCACTGTGTTGGAGCTACAGGTTTAGAAAGATGACCAACCCGGGGCACCAGGGGGCGCTGCGGGTCCTGGTTCTGGACCCTCCCTGGTGCCAGTCCCCTGGGCAGGGCTCAAGTGCAAAGGGCATGACTGGTGCTTCCTTGAACACACTTCTCTTGGGGAAAATGTCTGTCCCTGTGAAACCCACACGTGGCCCTGTCTCTGACCCCAGGGACTCCCCAGAGTGAGGCCCTGGGCTCAGGGCTGAGACAGGAGCTGAGACCCAGGACGGGGGCGGGGACTTGATTGGCATGCACTGCCCTCCTGGAGCTGCAGGGGAGAGGATCAAACGGGGGCCTGGAGAGGCCAGTCCAGCTGGGCAGCCTCAGGGCAGAGGTCAGGACGCGCCTCCCACCACGGCCTGGGTCCTCTTCTACCTGCTGTCGCTGCTGATCAACACAGGTCAGTGTGGCCTCGGGCCTCGGGGGCTCCCGGCCCCTCCGTCTGGCTCAGTCCTGAGGGTCCGCTCCCAGTGTGGGCGCCCTCAGCCCCACCTGCCTTTCTCTCTGCAGGGCTCTGTGCTCGGCCTGTGCTGACCCAGTCCCCGTCTGCGGCCTCCTCCCTGGGAGGCTCGGCCAAGCTCACCTGCACCCTGAGCAGTGAGCATAGCACACACTTCATTCAGTGGGATCAACAGAGCCCTGGGCAGGCCCCTCGGTATCTGATGAAACTGACCAGTGACGGAGAAGTCACCAGAGGGGACGGGATCCCCGGCCGCTTCTCCGGCTCCAGCTCCGGGGCTGAGCGCTACCTGACCATCAGCAGCCTCCAGTCTGATGACGAGGCTGATTACATCTGTGGTGTCAGCTATAATGATGGTGGCCAGAGTGGGTACCACAGTGACACAGACAAAGAGGAAGTGAGGCACAAACCTCCCTCCCATGCCCTCTGCCCACGGGCACCAGGGTGAGCTGCTCCCTGTCCGTCCCCAGGGCCCTGACCTGAGTCTCCCCTCAGAAATCCATCTCCCTGACTCTCTCCCAGAGACACCAGATGGAGATCAGATACATATTCATTTTAAGTGATTTGGAAACAGGACATTGTGTTTCCTCTTCCACAAGCCTGTGTGGATGATGCTGGGAGAGACCAGCCCAGACCAGGGGGAGCATGACCTTAGGAGGGGCCTGAGTTGAGGTGACCCTGTCCCTAAGAGCCCCCAGGCCCTGTGGGGTCTCTCAAGGCAGGGACCGGGGTCTGGGGGTCCACAGGTGACACTGCAGGTCGAGGCACCAAGTGACCAGACTCAGGGGCCCGGGGGCAGAGTGAGGCTCTGCCGGGACTGAGGGAGGGCTCAGCAGGAAGAGCTGAGCCTCAGGGCAGGACAGAGCCTCGGCCCCGTGGTGGGANTGAGCACATGATCGGTCGATGGCCCAGACCACACATGGCGATACTGAGGCCCAGCACCCACCGGCTGCCCGGGACCTCATGGCCGAGGGTGGACACGACAGGACCTCAGGGGACCTTTCAGAACTCCCCGTGCTCTTGGCAGAGGAGCAGTGTGATCCGTGGCTCTGTCACTCGGGAGCTGTGTCTGAGCTGGGCCCTGCAGCTGTGCGTCACCTGTGGCGTGGGCCTGGTGAGACTCACCGTCCGGGGGACCTGAAGGGTCAGAAGAACCTTCCCTTAAAAGTTCTGGAGGTGGAGCTAGAACCAGACCCACAAGTGAACTGCACCTAAAAACAGTGAAGGATGAGACACTTCAAAGTCCTGGATGAAATTAAGGTCCTTCCCCTGAACCAGGATGAAACAGAGGAAGGACTTGGCTTCCTGGAAACCCCGACATCTCCACCGTGACTCTGGCCACGTTCATGGCAGAGCCNGGAAACCCCGACATCTCCACCGTGACTCTGGCCACGTTCATGGCAGAGCCCAGGATCCTTCGGTGCGAAGGCCTCAGGTTTCCTAGAAAATACAGACAGTCTCCAGCTCTGAGCTCTCAGTGACAAGGGCTTCTCTCCCAGGAGGGGGGCCAGGACCCAGTCTGGGGTGGAGCTGTCCCCCAAAACCCTGAGACCAGCAGGTGCAGGAGGAGCCGCGGCCTGAGGGGAGTGTGCAGGGTGGCCCTCCCCCGTGTTCCTGGGCTGAGCCTCTCTGACCACACGGCTGCAGGCAGCACCCTGGGCTGGGGCTGATTTGCATCCCCAGCAGCAAGGG